AGAGGTACTTAATCTGAAATCGACTGTTGACAGATGCTGTCTAAGTGGCTATTAACGTCATCATAAGAGTATGGATGAAGTACCGTCCAAAGCCTCGTTGAAACTTCTACTATCTGAGACATCTTCATTTGCTGATAACAGCACTATAACTACCAATAATGCCAATGGTAATGTTTCATATCAAAAAATAATGATAATAAGTATTCTCTTTAATAATAATAATAATCTTTAATAATTAAAAAAAGTAATCTTGTTTATCCCTTAAATTGCTTATCCCATCAGGGGTTTGTAGCACTATCAGCAAATGCTCAAAGTCTAATTCAGCGTCGAGTACCAAAGTGTGAAAATGTAAACAAAGAAAAAAAAAGACTTGTCGTGGGCCCGCGCACCGAAACCAGGGTTCTTGTTTCTGTAGTGAGCCGATTGCCAAAGNCTTGTTTCTGTAGTGAGCCGATTGCCAAAGTTTTCGGAGGGTTTTCCGGCCCCTTCCGGCCCCTTGCCCTCCCCGATTTCGATTGTCTGTTGGGCTTAGTAGTTAAAGCGACCAGTGGAAATCGACTGTTTGGATATATCCGATTTAATTTTCGTTGGCATTATCATTAACCTAAAGAAGTACTTTTTTCAGCTTGTTATCAGCATGAACATCTGCTTGTAACTTAACAGTAATGATAGCATTCAATTGTAAGGATTAACAATATTATCATAAAATTGAATTTCAGAGTCATGTGATAGCAGTTCAGCATATTCGGGTGATGAAGATTCAGAAAACAGCACTAGTAATAGTAGCAGAAGTAGAAGTAATGTCGAGAAACGTTTGAATCGCAAAAGGAAAACACATAAACAATCGAAATTAAGTGCGCATTCGTCGCACAACAAGTAAGTCACACACACACACAGCCAGCCAACGTCATGTTTTATAACAACAAAAATCAGTTATAGTGTTGTTCAGTCGTCTTCTAAAAGGCAACAATGCTCGAGTGGTCATTATAGTGAATTCGAGAATTTCGCGAACGGAATTGATGAGTACACTTCACAATCAGACGATGATGAGATTGGTGCAAATGAGGCTCGTTTTGATCGTTATTTTTATTATTATTGCTAAATGCTGCATATGCATTAATTCTATCACAGACTGATTCTGGTAGAGATAATGAATATTCAAGGATAATTCATTCAACTTTGAAATGTGTCGAGTTCGTCGCAACCAGTATTCTTCACCAAACACAAGCCCATCATCATTAAACAATAACAACGAAGTTGTGACTAGCAAAATGCGACAGAATCGAGTTGATAAAGGTGACGAACACCAGCATGCAACAGTGCGTTGTTATTCTATTTCATGATGGAGGTGGAAACTCATCATTATTTTGAAGCATTCATTAATGAAGTCTTTTAGGATAAGGCTGTGGTAAGAAATGAATTAATGAGTGACATTGAAACGCTGGATATTGAGGATGCATTGTGTGTGGTACGAGAAGGATTTGGAAATGCACCACCGTTGGCCAATGAAGAGAATTTTGAGGATGAGATTGATTAGTAGTGATTCGTTCAATTGGATCGAATTGTTGAGCAAATTTAATTCAGTTTTATTTTGATGCTTGCACAGAGTAATGAGTATCAGTTCAGTTTTGTCATTATCATTCATGGTGCTAATTTCTTATGTTCGAATATCATATACATAAGTAATGTCTCAATTAGATGCTGCTATTTTATTATTATCTTTTTTTCACCTCTTTAAGCCTTATTTCATAAATTTATATTTTGTTAAAGCAAATTTTTTAACATACTTTTGACATTCGTTATGTTCCCTCGATGATGCATTATATCCCTCGATTTTGCATAAATATTCACGTTAACGTATTACTTGTTTTAAAAAAAAATTGTTTACTGAGTACTGCATTGTTGTGATATGGTAAAGTAATATTATGAGTAAAGCATGAAATTTGGCAAGAATGACAGATGCATAAGCAATTGTGGATAGTGAAAATCAGGGGTGCATGCTGTGCACTATGCATTATAATTGGTGTGTCATCATAAACTGTGCTTAATTACTCATGAACGATACAGCACAAGAATATTATTCGTTGCTTTGATCAGAATTTGTTGTGAGTATAATGAAATACTCAGTTTCATTCAATTTCAATTGAAGTACGTTTGCTTGTTCAAAAAAGTAATGTGTAACATATAATCTGAATGGCTGATGGTTGCTTATTGATAGAGCAGCCTCTTTATTGTTGACCTTGATGCAAGATTAACGAGTATTATGTTGATCAATAAAAAAATTCTTATCGGTAGTCACTGTTGCATCTAAAATAATTCGTGAAGGCTGGTTATCCTTTCTTCGAGATTTCTCTGTGAAACTTTCAATAGAATGTAAGGTCGGTTAGTTTAAAAAGCGTCCGTCTACAAGCTGTATACTGCATCCGAATGGATGCCTTTGATTCATGAATAGAAACAACTTCTATTCCAGCAAACGTTTCACTGCCGTTCTCATGGGCTCTGAGCTTCAGGATTGGGTCTATTTGGATACATTGAAGTTGAGGTTCATATTCATATCCTTTCTCTACTGTTTTGATATGCAACTTTATTCTGACTGCTAAAGAAGCAAATTTTCATCATTGAAGAAATTGAGTGAATTTTTTTTTAATTCAGAAAAGATGTTATCTTCAAGCGTTCGACGCGTTTCGGTGCCAGAGAATCATCACTATTTGCTAGTGCACCATATGGTGGTCCAATAGGTGAATATTGAATAATGACCATTTCTTAACAACACTTTCTACAATCAAGGCGTTCGCTGATTTGGATAAACAAGCAGGAAGGAGCATTGTTTTATTTTTGATTTCAACAGAAATTCTTCTGTAATGAGAGAGAATTTTAGCTGTGGCCAATTCGTCATCGAATGCATCCTCATGGGAAATCACAGTAGAAACATGTTCAGGCAAACAACTCTCCTCAATACGTGTACCAAACTTGCATGCACTTTATTGGAGCCGTTGTCATCGAGTTAGTCGTGCTGACAGTTCATCGGTCTTTTAGTATTTAACGCAAATCATTTGCAGCTAATCGTTGTTGGAACAAGAGCGCGGGTGCTCATCTACAATCCACTTGGCAAACTAATCAATCAATTTTCAGTTCAGCAGGTTTCACAAAATAAAATCTTCTTTTGCAATGTTCAAATTTTCAGCGACTCGCCCACCAAATGAAGGTTTATTTTCGAGATTATGCTCGCAAAATTTTGACTGATGATGAACTAGATCGCGCTCATTTTTGTCGTTCATTCTCAACCACTCAACAAAGTTTAATTACTGATTAAGTCGCCTTGTAGGAGATTTCTGTGGCCGAGTCACGTATTTTCTATGGAAGCGCTGGTAGTACAGGTCTTGCTGTTTTAACTGATACGAATCGAATATTTGCTGTGAACTCAATTATGGAAGCGGTCCCGTGGCGAATTCCTGATATTTATAGTATGTGGTTTGTTGTGAAATTGATTTCACGAATGAAGTGATGAATTTGAGGAACACTGTTCACAGATAATGATAGCACGAAGAGTATGTGTAAGCTTGAAAAATGATGATTGTTTAACGTACAAACAGGATCAAGTCGACCGACAGCTTGGAACATTCTCATATCGAATACGCAGATCACAGTGTTGTTCGTCATGGGTGATACTTTCTACGCAGGCATGCAAGGTGTTGCACCGCAGTCATTGGTTCGCATTAAATCCATCCCTTTAACCCAGGGTTTCTCAACTGGGGGCGCTTGCAGCCCAAGGGGTGCGAGATGGCAGGCCAGGGGTGCGAAATGTTTTATTTGTATACATTAAATTAGGCGAGGACGAAGTTCAACGCATAGATGTTTATAGAGTAGGCGAGGATGGACTTTAACAACTTAGATTTTTGAGAAGGCTTGAACGTACTCTAGTAGTATACACTATAAACACTCACTGTAGTGGTTAAGAGATACAGAGAGGATGTTGTGAGAAGTGCGGGCACATTTCAACTATTGTTATAGGAGGTGCGAAGACATTTTAGGGGATGCGGGGAAAAAGTTTAAGAACTACTACTTTAACCAGATGCAGTTTGTTCGTGATCCTTTTTCTTTTGTTTAGAATGTTCAATGGAAATTGACCAATGGTGAATATCGAGAAATTGTACCAAATTGTGATTGCACACGTATTGCATTCGCCCATTCATCTGGTGTCATACAAGTCGTTGATTTTGATTTCTGCTTACTATCGTCTATAAAAATACCTACTGTGAACCCCACCACTTCAGCAATCAGTCCAATTCACTGGTATCGCCTTTTCTAGATCTTATTCCGATTTCAGATTTATTTATATAGTGATCCTTTTCAGTGAGGTTCTTTTAGTTGTTTATTTGCATAATTAGGATGAGATTGCAGCACCGAATGAATCATTTTGATTTGATTGGGGAAATGTTGCAGGTGTGGTAATGAAGCATTAGCATTGAGGCGTTCGCGCAGTTCCCTGCAAATGCTGTCGTTAACATCGGAATATCATACGTTAGTTGTTTGTTACTTTATTCTTTATTTGTGCTAAATTGCAAATTTAAGGTATACTTTCAACAGTGACATTCGACTTGATGTCGAACTCGATGGCATTAAGGTTTTCACTTCGGATCGACTTATTTTCCTATCTTTTGTTCCGGGTTAGCTTGTTCATTTGTCCTTTTTTTCGAGTCATTACTGGTACTATTGACGATCGATGGCTAATGGTTCTATTTGCAGAAGAAGTCGAGAATGTGTTAGGGATTGCCTCTTCAGAACCTGGTGCAATCCTATATGAAGCATCCGAAAAACTTTCGAAAGGAAGTCATGGTGTGTACAATTATTTCAAAATGATTGGTTAGTTATTAGTCTCTTAGGTGTTTTTGTTTTTATTCTCGTTGGATTTTTTTTCTCATTTCGTTGTTTTATTATTGCTATTATCATTGTTTTATTATTACCACTAATACCGCTGTTATTCCTATTACTTCACATTTTAACTGAAGTCGATTTGTTGTTATTGCATTGAATTATGTTCGAATACAGAGACGCAACTGGATAAAGCTGTCCATCAGTGCTTATTTGCTGCAGCTCATCAGTTCGATCATTCTATGCAAAAACGATTGCTTAGGGTAAGCGATGGATGAATCTGTTCCTTGCAATTCAGCTTAAAACATACAAAAGGAACTGATCATAATTTTGTTTCTTTACAGGCAGCATCATTAGGGAATGCACTATTGCAAAGGCATGACCCATCACAATTCGTCGATTTATGTCACGTAATGCGAATACTAAACTCGGTTCGACAACCATACGTCGGTATGTCACTCTCGTTTCTGCAGTAAGTATATTAGTTGTTCATATTTCTTCTACAAAAAACACAAACACATCTTCTAGGTGCAAGCAAAACGCAGAATATGTACGAAAACTATTGTATATTAAAGGAGTCAAAGAATGAGACTCTTCCAATCAAAATGTTTAGTGAATTAGTCAACTTTTATTTCACTGAGCTAGTTTAGTTGATGTGGTATTGCAATTATCTTTTTGTTACGTTTGGAGATCAAATGAATTGAAAGTGGAAACGTTGATCGATCGTTTAATCGATATGGGTATGTGGCCGATAGCGATGTCAATTGCAGAATATATGAAGCGTACAGCAAAAGATGCAGTTCATCGCGTCTTAGCACATTGGGCATTGAGTAAGGTTCGAAGCTGTTTGCTTTGAACAACATTCGTTTATGTTTGCATCGTGTTCGCACTGTTCCTTGTCATTCTATTTTTCTCTTCAGATGCTTTTCTCTCTTCAGATACTAAATAATTTGCTGATCATATTCATATTTCAGATTGATGCTTTAAAAAGTGAAAAAGAATCTGGAAAGATACCCGACTATGCAGGCGTATCCGAATCAATCGTCAAGCGTTTCTCAAACTATCCAGAAGTTAGCTTTGCAGGTTGGTAAACATAAATTATTTATGTTTACTCGTTAATGGAGTCATATTATTGGAGATGTGGCAATGAAAGCCGTTGATGCGGGTTTATCACCGATGGCCGAGTTGTTACTGGAGAAGGAGACTCGACTGAATCGGCAAATCGACATGCTTCTCAAGCTGAACAAGGTCGATAAAGCACTCGCAAAGGCAGCATACAGCAACCAACCAGATCTATGCAAGTCTTATCCGTTTACCAATTCGTTTAGAATGCAAAGTGATCATGTCAACAACTTATTATTGCCAGTGAACAATCTTTCAGTGCATGTTGTAATAGCGCATTTGAGAAGAACCAAAACAAAAGAAGTGATTGATCAATTGATGCTGAAAATACCCCAAGCGATGTGCCTTTATCAAGACTATTTACGGGTTGGCTCATTGACTGTCTTCTGTTCTGGCTTATTGCGAGACTACATCTTGCTGTTTACTATTTTCTATTACAGGATGAGGCACCTGCCTATGTGCTAGCCTTATATGAAGTGGACGATGATTTTGCTCGTCAGGCAATCTATCATTTACGACAGTCCGAAACGATGCCTTGGAATCCATTCGATATCAAGGAGAAAGTCGATGAAATAGCCAAAGCCGAGCAATGCCTTCACAATCTCAGGGTACTGCATGATTATTCAAATAGCACTTCTCGTCTATTCCTATTATCTCATAGATTTCTCTTTAAAAATTTTGTACATATAGGAATCTGCTATGACGCAGCAACTCGACGATTCGATAATGTTGCTGCGATTGTGCGAAAACTTGGATGGAAAAGCGGATTTCACGGATGTCAATCGAACGAGTGTACGTTCCGTCTTTATTTGGGCGGCTGGTCACGACGACGAATCACTTATGGAGCAGTTGAAGAAACATTTCAAACTTTCTGATAAAATGCAAGTCTACTTTCGGATTTACGACCGCACCTCATCCACACGTTTATTCATTCGTTTATCATTAAAATTCTTTCTCTTAAAAGCGTTCGTCTTATAGGTATTGCTTATGGAAAATTGAAGGCTTAGCATCTCAAAAGAAGTGGCACCATTTAGAGACTTACTCAAAAACGAAGAAACTTCCTGTTGGTCTGATGGTACGTATACAGTGTATTATTTATGCGTCAAGCAACCGTTGATCGTCTCAGATAAACTCTCCATTTTTTAGCCATTTATCGAGGCCTGCACTCGTCATGGAAATACATCCTTAGCTGCTATTTTGGTTGAGAAGTTGACGTCGACACAAGAGACCATTGATGCGTATCTTCTCATCGAGTGTGTCATTCATGAATTGATTGGTATTTTCAAAAACGTGCGCATGTTAATTTGTTGTGTTATTTGTTTCAGTGAGCCGATCAAAGCGGCCAAATTAGCTGCTGACAAAAAGTTAGTATCGTCAGTGGAGAGTATTCATGCACGATATCGAATGAACACTGATGTGGCGGCCGAGGTTGGTGCTATTTTGAGCAAACTTCGGGCTAGTTAACAGCCTGACGCTGAAGCTGAGGTTAGCTGGATGTGTGGTCATCTTCGTCGTTGAATCGATTCGATTGTGTTTTATTGATTTCATCACTCTTCTCGTTAAACGTTATTGTTTTGTTTGCCTTGAATAAGTTGGTGCCTTTTGTTGCTTTTTGCTTTTCAAGATGTTCAAAATGTTTACGATGACAGTATTCTTCCTCTACGTCAGTGATTCTCATAAGTGGAGGGGGGGGGGGAATTTGAGGTTCTCGAAGGGAAACTGAAACGGTTGGCAATTCACTGTTAGTTGATTTTTGTGCCACGGGTTCATCCATATTTTTAAATTTGTGTTCGAGTAAGCATCAGTTTCTTGTGTTCGAGTAAGCATCTCGAGAATATCGAGCAAAGGGATCAACGAAGTGCAATAACATGGGAACCACTGATCTATGTGTTTATCCATTTTGCAAATATTTACAAGCATATTAAAAGATGTTTTGTTTGGCAGGTTATTTCAAAAACTTATCGTGACAACAATAAAAATAAATAATTAACATCAAATCAAGCAATCAAATGTGGTGAGCTGAACATGATTGCGCACGTTGAAACAATAATAAATGAAGAGAATGCAAACAAGCACATCCTATCAACGACCATCGCGGCGAATTTCCAATCGTTTTCGGCTTTTTCGTCCTGAAGTATAAACGTGTATCAACGACTATCCCATTGCTATGCGTAATAAAAACTTGTTACTATCAAATCATAAACACTAACACGTTCATCCTCTTCCATTCGTTTTCGCATCGCTTTCATATGTTCAGCAATATCACCTAGTTGAAGGTAAACTTTCTGAATGCCTTTATGCAAAATAAAACAAATTCCACCATTCAAATGCCGATTACAACAACTCTGACCAGTTATTGATCCATCACCAATACCAGTTGTTCTCAGTGATGATGACATATGATCTTTTGTATTCACTGATATCGGTGTACCTCGAACTGCGACGCCTTCACCATCCCACTCCATAAGCTGTTGCATCGGTTTTGACGTTACTTTTGATTTCCTGTAATCTGTCACAATTCACCTTCGCTTCTTTCCAGTTCTCGCAGAGAACCGAAAGAAGAAAAGGTGAAAATATCGTAATCTCTGAAAGTAATGTGTTTCGCTCATGTAGGAGCATTGTTAGCTAACACTTAGTTGTTTAGCAACGTAATGTGAACAAATTGGAGACTTTCTTAAGGTATCCAATTTGTTCACGTTGCGATTTCCATCTTTTATATAAACTTATAGTTAGAGTGGGTGAATCAGTGATACTCCATTGAACAATCAGAAATCATTTATATAATTAGTTTAAATGTATCATCAAATATAAGAATTCAAAAGTGCAATGCCAAAACGAACTAACCAAGTGTGATCTTTTCGCCAGCATCAGGCGTTAGTGTGAAGCCAAGAACGTCATAAGTGAGATCAACAAAGAGGGTATGATTAAGTTGAGACCATAGTAAAATGTTCGTCGTTGAATGATAAAGAAAAAAAATGGCACAGTAAGGCTCACTGCCGAATTCGGTACGTTCCACATGTGCAGGTGTTGCTGCAATGAATAACGGCACATCTAAGGATATTTACCATCAGGTAAGCAAGCAACTCTAAACCAACCGAGCAAATTCCATTCTCCATTCGTCACATAATACTGTAGGTCTATACCGTCCGTCTAGTTATTTGTTGTTATTTGCAAGTCAATAAAGTTACCACTGTATGTCCATGAACCGAACTATAATTACAACTGTAGATTAGTGATGATTGATTTGATGGTTGCATTGATGCAAACACTACCTTCTGATGACACATTTGGTCGTCGAATGGAAACCATGTGATATCGATTTTACATGAGAGTTTCATGATTCCTAGTGGTACTTGCATTACGTCACCATTGTAACCGATTATGTAATTGACTGGGTAGGTCGAATCGAAGTTCTCATCAGCACTGAATTCATTTCAGTAATTTTTTCTAGCGAAAATTGATCAAAAAATTCACACAATGTTCACCTGTTATAAAGAAGCACATCCGGTTTCCAAATTGCAATCGCAGTTCCAGGAATACGAATATCCTGAATCTTGCTGTACTCTTTTGGATCCCAACGAAGTTTATAGTCATTCCAATTCTAAAATTCATCAATCATAGTGGAACAGCGGAATGAACATCGCAATCTGCTATGCAAAATGAACAATTTTGAATCAAATTTCTGAAAATTCACACTTACGTATTTCACCCATGCAACCAACGTTACCACTTCATTTTTCTCATCCCGAAAGTGGTTGAAATTAATTTTGGAAGTGATTACAAATGGGAGAATAAATATTCAAAGGGAAAATGTGAATTGGACTTGAATAGACCAGCTGAAATGAAACGAAAGAGACTCGCTGCAACGAATTCGCTAAACAAAACAAAATCAAACTGAGTCACCACATCAAGAATCTGCTACAAGTAAAACTTCTTAGTGACATTCAGTGAAGACAGGACATTCGAGAGGGTCATAGTTGTGACGTAAATCGTTCAATAAACGACATTCATCCGCACTCGCCTAAACTTGAACGATTCTTATCAACAAGCACAACAGCCACATTCTTGTTTGACTCGTTGGAATATGTTCATCTGCTAGTATCAATACTGCAAAATGAATGTGTTCATTCGTTAGTGATAACTCGAATAAACGATTTACAAATTAACAATCACTTTATCTTTATTCATTTCATCATTTCACCTCAATCCTCTTCATCTCATTCTCATTCTGACATTCTTCTCCTCATTTGGAACACGCTGCATTCATCATAAATCTGCTTCAAAGTTTCTGTATTCAATCGCACCAGCAACTGTTATTGGTCAATCTGAATGTAAGTCTACTGGAGACAAACGAGTAGAATTGCACGATTATGCGATCCAAATCATGGCTCAAACTCGAGAAAATCAATGGTATTGATACACCATTTGGTTTTTAATAAGATCCCTGCCCCCTGCATGAAGACGGCAAACTTTTACCCCAACCCGAATCGTCAATATCATTAATGAAATGCTATTGAGTTCAATTACTACACTGATAATTACCAAATGAAATGCGATTTACCTTATAAAGTACTTAGCTTAAACAAATAAGAGTGATTGCTGTTTGCAAGGAGAAAAGGAGAGATGTAGGAAACGACTGAAGAGTCGAATGGTGGTTTCACGAGAAAGACAATTGTTTATCTATATATTCCAGTCTTATTTGTCGAGATAACGCTCGCTCTTTTATGCGGTGCGTAACGAACGCACACAAAATCCAATGCTATTCAAATAAAGTCTCATTGGATTTTGATCAGTGCAAAATATTTACGCATAACGCACCAATTCATGCTTCAAAAGACAACCATTCTAGTCATTCACTTCTTTGCGTATCATTCATTCATTACAAAGGTAGATAGATGCATCTTTCAGGTTCATGTCTTATGAGCATAGCTAATAATATTCTGATGAGATGAGGGTTTGCTTGCACTGAACTAACATAATAAACAAATTGCTGCATTTTAATCAAACGTCAAAGAGAAATTTCAAATATGCAAATTTCTAT